CCCCAAAACCCCAAAACCCCAAAACCCCTTCTTAAGATTTTAACATTGGAAGTTTGAATAATTCTTAACCACCAAAATATGCAAAATAACTTAAGTATTTCAATGCCAATCTAGAAGCTCTGACCATGAGAGTCCAAGATGCTTAAATAAAAGCAAGCCTTTAAGAAGTCTTATAGGTCATGGATTAGTTTGCCTGCCGCTTCAATTTTGAATCTTCATGAGCATCAGGGGATAAATGCTACCGAATTTTACAATTTAATGTTTTTGGAGGAAATTATGGATACTTTTAGCCCCTGGTTCATTCTAGTTAACCCTTTTACAGCTTTGAACCTCAAAAAGGGGTTTTTAGCATGAAGAAATTATGGTTCTGACTACAATTTTGATAGAATTTTATTTGGAAATTAGAATCAAAATACTTTAGACTGGATTAGCATTATTAATCTCTACGGAAGAGTGGAAAACTCTTGGTAGTGTGGCTTCCTATCTGTCAGACTTTGGAGTTTACCTGGTGTAGATGGACAATATCCACGCTGTTGTGATAAGACCCTGAACGGAAGCCTTCTTGTATCTTTTCTACCTGAAGTGAATTGGTCTATGAAAATATCAAAACGAACACCATACCTTGCATAACCCTGCTTTTCTTAGAAGAGCAGCTTCTTTCAGGAATCAAAATAGTGCGGTGATTTGAATTCTTGGTGGTAAGTGGATGCTTTGGGGTAAAATGTTGATGCCCGAGAGCCTTCTCAGTATCGATTCCTTCAAATCTGACCTTCTTCCTACTCAGCATTAAAAACGATAAATAGTAATTCTTACTGGATATTAATAGTGATCTTCGGGACTCTATAAACAAGTTAGACCGGTGTATGGCAATACTTGAAAAATATTCGTAAAATGAAGCAATACTTGCCTTAAAAGATCCTTTTGCTTTTCCTTGAGAATATTGGGGAGAATGAAGTTATTCTGAAGGTGTTCCATTACACTATAGAAATTAGATAACTGAAAAGCTTTATGCTACCTTGTCCCTCTAAGTCTCTTGCCTCTGTTGAGCAAGCTTGGCTTTTTAGAGCAAATAGTTATCTCCTTAGCAAGTTTGACCTTCTTGAAGCCAGAAATAATTGACCTTAAAGGTTTGATCGCCTAAACCATGAGTAACCTTCTTTTCCATACAAAGAATAGGGATCAACTTACTGTTCTTTTGCTCTGAAAGTCGAGGTTCGAGATAGATCTTTTGGGAAATCCTTCATTGTCGCTTAGCCTTAGTGAGGCAAGCTCAGGCTCTCTGATTAGTGTGTCCAAGATTGATGCCTATTTGTTTTAGAATGTTTGCTAGAAGAAATAATCGACTTACATTCATTATTATTTTAACTCAATTTATGCTAAAAATTTCGGGGTTTTGGGGTTTTGGGGTTTTGGGGTTTTGGGGTTTTGGGG